TCACTGTTTACCCCCTCCCTAACTTTGTGTCGTCCGCAAACTTGGAAATGGTATTTGCTATACCCAAGTCCAGATCATTTATATATATTAAGAAGAACAGTGGTCCTAATACCGATCCCAAAGAGTATGACTTCTCTCTTGTTGATGTTTAACTGCAAGACATTTGTGCTCACCCAGGCCTTGATGTCTGTAGGACAAGCTGACAGAACATCAGAGGATTGGGGGTCTCAGCTCGAAGAAGAGAAGTAGATTTAAGTGTCATCCGCGGTTATGTAGAAGTTCACCCTGTGACTGCAGATGGAGCATATAGATGAGGAAGAGAAGGTGGCCAAGGATGGACCCTTGGGGTACCCCACAGGTGACCTGGTGGGTCGAGAAGGAAAACTATTTGCGGAAACGTAGTGCAGACTGGAGGGCTTCGAGTAGGTAGTGCAGCGAGAGCTATGCGCTAAGTTGGTCAGCAACAACATGTTCCAAAGCTTTGGCAAGGAAGGGCAGGTTTGAAACAAGGCAGTAGTGCCCGAGATTAGAAAGGTTGACAGTAGGTTTTTCAAGGAGTATAATGTTAATAATAATAATAATAATAATCCTTGCATTTGATAGTATATTTGTGGGCGAACGCAGCAGCCAATTGCGCACAGCAATGTCCCACAAACAGTCGTAGATTGAAAATGACCAATTTTTATTATTTTTTTTGTTGAGGGATTATTATTAGGAGTGTGGAGTAAGGAAACTTGCCCAAGGTTTCACCCTCTGCCTGGAATTGAACTCAGGTCTCTCACTTGCAAAGCGAGTGCTCTAACCACTGAGCTACAGGACTCCACCCTAATATTACTAATATTATAACAATATAACCCTCTCCTCCATCATCCACCTCAGTGGGACCGCATTTGCTTATGTTAAATATAACAATATACGCATTGCCAGTGTATTCTTGTTTAACATCTACCATTTTTTCGCGCCGTTCCTGTAGGGTAGTGGCGGGGGGTGATAGAATATCAAATGTGAAGATTGTTAATTTTATGCCATGCAATTTTCATTTATATCACGCCTTTAAATGTTGTATGGTTGTCTCAAAGCACGTCATCTTGCTAGCTGGGCAACACAGTTGGGCTTATGAGCTGAGGATACGGGGAAAGAAAACATGACCTTTGGCGCAGTGAAAGAGGTACGATGAGATACCATTAAGATCCTTAAAAGTAAACAGCAACATCAAACAGTTCAGACAAAATGCCTACGTATTGGACCCCAAAAATTGCAGCATTGATTACAGCAACAATCAGTGAGTTGAACTGTTTGAAAAGTATTCCTTGGTATTTCCTTTTTCAGCCGATTTATATCATTAATAATATTTCTTGGTGGTACAATCCAAAACCAATCTTTTACACTTCACCCAAAGGGATGCAATTCTTCAAAATATTACAACACCCTTTCCCCATTTGTTTGGATTTTGGGGCTCAATATTCTCAGTCAAGTGATGGCCAGTAGGTCCTCAATAGTCTTTGAGGAAACAGCAAAGGTGAGAATAAGAGTGACGCAGAGCTACAGAACCGAAGAAAATCAATTGTGCTACTTTTGACGATAACTGTCAGTTTCATATCACTGTAGTTGACATTTTTAATTTGCTTCATATTCACACAAATTATTCGCAGTGTTACATATATTACTTATCCTTTGTGGCAATGAAAGTCGGATCAATGCTTCAGGGCCTGAGTTGCTGCACAAACAATTGTACATATGTTATAGCTCAGAATAAATTCAGAACAGAATTAAAACGTGGTGACATTTCCACGAAATTTATTTGTAAAATTAGTCAATTGATGAAAAATCCCAAAATGTTTCCAGGAACGGTACTGTTCCCCGCCTCAAATTCCATTCTCTACCTGTTTTATTTGGTAATCCAAAAGCTTATGTTTAGCACTTTAACCTCACAATTCTTGTGTTTCTCTGGATGGATTGACATCTGGACGGAGACAGAGAGAGGGAACAAGGACTTTAGGTAGATAGCATAATTGTCAGAGATGGATTTATCTGTGACGGCATTGTCCGAGATGGTGGGAATCCGAGTAATCGCCAAGTTAAGGAGACTTAGGTAGATGGTGGAGATAATTTCAAGAGGAGGGGTAAGAAAATAGGGTGGAGGGCATAGTGAACGGCAATCAATCACAAGGTGCTAAATGGCTTGGCACATCCCCTGCTCATCAATTGTGGTGTACTTTGGGAAACGTCTGACTATTAAGCTGTCACATTACTGTGAAGAGAGCAACCTATGAACTTTGAAGGTGGGTTGCTGGTCATGTGGTGACCAACTGAAGTATTGGAGCTCTCAGTGTGCCTTGCGCTATGAGTGACCAGGCCAAAAAAAATCATCCACGTGAGGTGTGCGGCTGACTATGAAGTCTAGGACTGACTTTACGTGAAGCCTGACAATGCGGACTCGACCACAGAAGATGTAACCAAGGACTTTCTTGTTTCAGCAAGTGAGGTTGTAAGGAAACTGCAGCTGGTGCCAACAGCGCTGGTCACCAGGAATCTCTGTGAGGCCACACCCCATCAGTGTCCAGAGAGCAATTGTTGTGTCTATCCACAAGAAGGGTGACCCAAGTGAAACTGATAACTGCAGAGGGATCTCACTGATTTCAATGACCCTTGAAGAGGTAGTCACTGCACATCTCTCGCACACATTCGAGACTCATTGTTTGAGGAAGGACCAGGCTGCCTTGTCCTCGTGAGGAACGTTGGGACCGGTTGTGGCTCTGCATGAGATCACAGAACATCGTAAGGCTGAGGGGAAACCCATTTAAGTTGTGTTTATCGATTTTTGCAAGATTTTTGCCCTTGTCTCATGAGGCCCTCATGATAAAACTGGAAATGGGAATATATGGCCAAATCTTGGGTTTTATCCAAAATGTGAATCCATCTCCAAGATTCGTGTAAGGGTCGATAGAGGACTTACTGAGCTCATCTCTCTAGAAAGGGGGATAAGGCAAGGCTGCTCATTATCACCCATTGTCACCTATCGATGTGTTAATCAACCACGTATTGGATGGCATTGAGGGAGGACAGCGTTTTTTTAGCAGCGCTAAACCCAACCCCTCTGAGGCCAACATTATATATATATATAATATATAATAGGGACATCAGGATTCGCTCGCCGCGTAGACGATTATCCCAACAAGGACTGTAATGTTTTGTAGCTGGTAACAAATAAAGTGTTTTGTGTTTGTTGTACTAAATATATATTTGATGGTTGAGCGTTTGTTGTACTGAGCCAGAGGGCAAGCCATAGGCGCGTTACGCTCAAAGATGTCATTCACAAAGGAGTTCATGTCCTTCGAGGAGATGCCGGGGTCCGGATGAACTGCTTCATCACCTTGAACACGTGGATGGAGTAACTCTCCTTCCTATCTCCTGAGCTTCTTGCACGCAGTCTGTGGTTTGAGTCAGTGAGTGAGCCTGTCAGCTACAGTTTGAGTCAGTCAGAGATCCTGTCAGCTAGTGTGAGTCAGTGAGTGAGCCTGTCAGATAGTGTGAGTCAGTGAGTGAGCCTGTCAGCTACAGTATGAGTCAGTGAATGAGCCTGTCAGCTACAGTGTGAGTCAGTGAGTGAGCCTGTCAGATACAGTGTGAGTCAGTGAGTGAGCCTGTCAGATACAGCGTGAGTCAGTGAGTGAGCCTGTCAGATACAGCGTGAGTCAGTGAGTGAGCCTGTCAGATAGTGTGAGTCAGTGAGAGAGCCTGTCAGATAGAGTGTGAGTCAGTGAGTGAGCCTGTCAGCTACAGTGTGAGTCAGTGAGAGAGCCTGTCAGATACAGTGTGAGTCAGTGAGTGAGCCTGTCAGCTACAGTGTGAGTCAGTGAGAGAGCCTGTCAGATAGTGTGAGTCAGTGAGTGAGCCTGTCAGATAGTGTGAGTCAGTGAGTGAGCCTGTCAGATAGTGTGAGTCAGTGAGTGAGTCTGTCAGATACAGTGAGTCAGTTATTGTAATGAATGGATTTTATTTCAACAATTGCAACATGTGGATCCCCCCCACCCAACATTTTTCAAAGTAATGAAAGCTTTTCAAACACCCAGATTTGATTATTTTTATTTACCATTATGTATTATTTATTACTATTCTTATTAAAAATTAGTAAAAAGACTGTTAATAATCCCTATAAAAAACAATAATAAATTGGGTCATTTCAATCCATGACAGCTTATGGGACGCTGCTGTGCGCCATTGGTGCCACATTTCGCCCACAAATACAGGCAATTCACTTTACAGTCTATTCTGTGAAGCGCTTTGGGACGTCGAGAAGACGTGAAAAGCGCAATATCAAACGCAAGGATTATTATTATTGTAATAACCACCCGCACCCTTTAATAATTCTCTTCCGGAAGCAACTTCCAATTGAGAAAATTGGTCACCTTCTTCCCCCTCCCACACGGCTCAGCCCCGGGATCCGTTACTGTGAAGCACTCTGGAGGGCACTATATAAATCCAAGTTGTTGTTGTTGTTGTCCCTGGGGCGGAGTTTAAAGATCCTGCGGTGCTGTCGGTAGGAAGAGACACTATCCAGATGTGCTCCTGCACAGTTTTGACACGGCCTACGATTGAATGGGGGTAAATTCGCAGCACACCTGCGGAAATACAACTTCAGGGAGCGAGCAGTAAATGTGTGGAAGCAGGAAGTGCCGGTTCTTTCAAGCACCTGTTGCTATTCCTACGGAACAAATATTATATGGTAAAAAATGGCTTATATTTGTATTGAACTTCAGTTAAAACCCTAGTCAGGCTTGGAACTCACTCTCTAGGTTCGCATTGAGTGCAGTGCTGAGGGAGTATTAATAAAACAATAATAATCCTTGCATTTGATGCAGCGTCTTATCACATCGTGGAGGCGTCTCAAAGGGCTTCACAGAACATACTGTGCATTTTGTGGGAGAAACACAGCCGCCAATTGTGCACATCAGTGTCCCACAAACAGTCGTGGATCAAGTCATTAAATTATTTTATTTTGCAATTTTGCAAAATTTCATTTTGCAATAAAAAAAACTCTTTCTGTTCGGTGAATTTTGTTCCTCCTGCAATATATGTCAGTGAAGAGAAAATTAACAAAATATTTGTACACACTGTTTTTGCTTTTTTTAAAAAAAGGATATTACTGTGATACAATTTGGAAGTACTGTAGATGGATGACATGGGAGGAGTTCTGGGGGATGGGGAGGAAGATAACAGAATCAGGTAGTTGCTCTTTATCTTTAAGGGAAACAGCAGAGTAAGGACAGTTGTAATTTCCATAAAGTATACACTTCATCTTGATTCCAGGAACTTCCCAACAACTGAAGTGAAGCTGACTGGTGTGTAGTTACCTGGTTTCTCTCTCCCTTCCTTCCTAAAGAATGGGGTGACATTGGCATTTTTCCAATCCAAGGGCACAATTTCCAATATCTGAAGCTTTGGAGAATTTTGACGAATGCATCTGCAATTTCCTCCCTTACTTTTAATACACTGGAGCAGAATCCATCAGGTCCTGCAGATTTGTCTACATTTAGTCTCATTATTTTCTCCATTATCATTTTTTATTTATAATAAAACCATTTAGTGTTTCTCATTGGCTTATTTTTAGGTTCCCTGGTAATACGGGTCATCTTCCTCTACTGTGAAAACAGAAGCAAATTCAATGAAGCTGGACAACTAGTGGGGTGCTGAAGAACCCATCGTATCTCCTACCTGTTTTTGCAAAACACAAGCAGAGCTCATCAATGGGCATGGCCTCAAAATCCACGTTCCCAAGGTCCGGGTAGACCTCTGGGAAGAGCCCTAGCCTGGGCAGCTCCAGTGAGTGGCCTCTGGGGGCCTTGGCCAGAGTCACATGTAAAGGAATTGGTGGCTTTGGGAAGATCACGTTCAAGCCATGCTCAGTCAGACGTCGGCCCAAGGTCTTCACCAAGCGGTCTATCTCAGGCGCTGGTGTTGTGGCCACATACAGGACCCGACCCTCAGCGCAAGTGTTCAGCCCCTGGAAATGAAGGATGAGAGTGGGTGGAAGCAGTCGCTGACCTTCCTGGGGAAACTCACGCAGCACCCGGCAGGCGCAATCCAGGTCAGAGGGGGAGTCCAGCCTCAGGAGCACCAACGTCAAATGTAGACTGGAGACTGGGAGGCAGTAGGGGCCAAAACCTGGGATACGCCGAGTCAGCTCTTCCTGCACAGTCCGGGCTGACCTGGTGAAACTCTCGCTGTTAACCTGCACGGCAACAAAGTAATTGGGGCGTCCGCAATCAGCAGTGCAGTGCTCCTCACCATTGCTACTTTCCTCCTGCTCAGCACTGGTGCTTACTCCCCCCACAGCTTCAACCCCAGAGTCCTCTGCCCCGGCGCTCGATACCTCCTGATCGGCCAATGTTAACACCTCACATGCGTTGATCACGTCGGACATTGTCTTCCCTCCACCAGTGGAGCCAAATACCTGGTCGATGCGGCGCGTTTTATCCCAAACCACAACGCCCCGGTAGGTAAAATACTGGATGCGGTGCTCAGGCACAGCCAAGACCCCAGGCGCGACCCCAGCCAAGTCTTCCCAACAGAAAGCCTCGAACGGCTGCTCAAGAATGCCCAGAAAGCGGTCCAGGTACCCGATTCGGAAGTGCTCGCGCTGCAGTGTGTCATCCCACTGAACCCGCGAGATCACGTCTGCTGCAGTTTTCATGGGTGGCTTCTTCCTTCCCTCTTCACCACCTGAAACTTTCATCGCCTTCCTGGGGGCTGTCCTGTCCCCCGGGGGGTGTAGGTTTCGGCATCGCTCTCCAAACCTGCAACGCCCTTGTAGGTAGAATGGGCACACAACTGATGCTGGTGTCTCCTCATTGCTGGGGGGCTTCTCATCGGTGAGGGTCTCCTCACTAGAGGGAGTTTCTCCTCCAGGTGGAATCTGACTTTGAGCGGGCTCCACATGGCAGTGTTCTCCAAGGTGGCTCTGAATTCCAGATGGTGACAATTCTGCCATACTCCTGGGGCCATAAACAGAAGAGATTGAAGCACAGCTTAACAATGGGAGGTCGGAAAAACTTCAGGAGTCCAAACAGGTCAATAACAACTTGCATTTATATAGTGCCCTTCACGAGGGGTAGCGTCCCGGAACACTTGACAGGGGCCAAGGGCTGCAGCCTCAGATACCTGCCTATCTCAAGGCTGAGAAACAAGCCGGCTGTGGAAGGCTGCCCAGAAGTTATCCGTATCTCTCTCTGCAAAGCAGCCTGTGAAGGGTGGGGGCCATCTCTGTGACGAGGGGAGGTGGAGTTAGAAACACACAGAAGATGTCACTTTGAAATATTTGGGAGTTGTGTAGAGGGTCAGCACTTCCCAGTGGAATTGATATTGATTCTACTGTATCTATGGACATGTACAGGGGTGTGGGAATTTACCTCCAGTAAGAAAATGACCAGTAAAAGTGAAAGAGTAGTGGCCTTCAGCCACTATGCCCCGAGGCTCTGGAACTCCCTTCCTCACTCCCTTCGCCTCCATCCCTCTCTTCCTATTTTCAGGTCTCTGCTGAAGACCATTCTTTTCGACCGCACCTTTGGTCACCTTTTCCCCGTGGCTCGGCCCCGGGATCCATTACTGTGAAGCGCTCTGAGACGCCGTCCGGCGTGGAGGGCGCTATATAAATCCAAGTTGTTGTTGTTGTAGTGAGGTCTGTAAGGAAGGAGGGCTTTCTCCAGTGAGAGTGGTGGTGGATTGTGGGAGTTCCAGGAGCTGTTGCCGCTGCCCAGAGTCGAATTGGGCAATATGATTTTGATTCTGTGTGTTATCTAGTATATCTTTATAAGGGACACAGTGCAGCTGATTTGTCTGTCTACACATTGCCTTTCTTCACACCTCAACCTTCATGGTTCTATCCTTGAATGGTTCAGATCCTATCTCTCACACCGGCTCCACTTCACCTCCACAAATGGCTTCTCCTCAAGCCCTCGCACCATCTTGTGTGGCGTTCCTCAGGGCTCTGTCCTTGGTCCCCTCCTCTTAAATATCTATATGCTCCCTCTTGGTGACATCATCCTCAGACATGGGGTCAAGTTCCACATCTATGTGGACGACACCCAACTCTACCTCTCTGCCCCACCCTTGACTCCAGGATCATTGCTGTCCTGACAGACCAAGTCCTGGATCAGAGCTAACTTTCTAGAGTTGCACATCAACAAGACCAAGGCCCTTTTGATTATCTCCCATCAGCACCTCCTCACCTCAGGCACTGGCAGCATCACCATCCAAGGATGCACACTCCACCTCACTAGCCAGTCTAGAACCTTGGCATCTTGTTTGACTCTCAACTATCTTATCTATTCCACATCAATGCCATGACCCGCTCTGCCTTCTCCCAGCTCTGCAACATAGCCATGCTCAGCCACTGTCTCAAGAGCAGGCCACCAAAACCCTCACACACATTCATAACATCCAGGCTTGACTATACAAACTCCCTGATTGTTGGCCTCCCCAACTCCTCCCTGCACAGGTTGCAGATCATCCAGAACTCTGCAGCTCATGTCCTCTCCCACACCAGGCTCCATGACCCTATCACCTCCATCCTCGCCTGATTCTACTGGCTTCCTATCACACAGAGAATACAGTTCAAGATCCTGGTCCTCACCTTCAAAGCCCTCCATGGCCTTGTTCCCCCTACCTCTGCAACCTCCCAACCCCCTTTGAACCTGGCCACTCTCGCCGCTCAGTAGGCTCCGGCCTGCTTCACGTCCCCCACCTCGCTCACCCCACCACTGGCAGGTGGGCCTTCTGCCACTTTGCCCCCACCCTCTGGAACTCCATCTCACAGTCCCTTCACCTCGCCCCCTCCATCAAGACCTATCTCAAGACCCTCCTCTTTGACCGTATCTTTGGTCACCTTCTTCCACCTCTGCCCTATGATGGGCAGCTGTTGGGCGGAGTTGGTATCCCTGAATTAATGACAACAACAACAAAATTACATTTGTATAGCGCCTTTCACGTCGGGAGAATGTCCCAAAGCTTTGCAGCTTCGTCCGCATCCTTTCTCACCTTTAAACGTTTATGGATGTTTACCGCAGGTCTCTTTTGACACCAACTCCCTTTTAAACATTTCTGTTTAACCTTATTCTTCCTGGAAACTATGTACAACCTCATTCTCAAGACAAGTTCAGTCCAGTCTTTTCAGGTGGATGAGAGACATGCTACAAATTGTGGCTGGGGGACGAAACTCAACCTTCTCCACGTTGGGAGGATTTTGTCAATATAGGGGTTAAAATGTCCCAGTCTGACACTTTACAATGCCCTTTGCCCGACTGAAGTCCGACTGAATTCAGCTCCACCTGAACTCGAACAAGAGAGACTCACACTGGCTCTTTCACAGCGAAGAAAATGTAATATGTTTCTAATTAATACAGGGAATTATTATTCTGACTTGCCTAGTTACTTACTGGATCACTGTGAGCCGCTGAGCCTCCCTCTGTCTCTCAGCTCCTCTAATGACCATACAGGCACTTACTTCCTGGGCACATCGCGCGTCACCACTTCACTGCAGCCCACAAACCTGGGCTGCCCTCCCCTCCCACTGATCCAAAGCGGATTAACAACCATTTGCATTGAGCGAGATCATTGCCATATAATAATGTAATCATTTATAATAACTACAGTCACTTCAATCCAAATCCAGAGACCTTTGTTTATGTAAAAGCTAAATGCTAATTTAATGGAAAGACATTCAGGTTTACCTTCTGTTCCTTTTGTCTCTTTTGTGATAACTGGGGAAAAGTATAGGTGTTGTATTTCAGCCGTTTCGTTGTTATTTTATACAAGCTTCTCCCCTTCACCAACCACTCCTCTGACTAACGTGTCGATATAACACCTTATTGTTTATTTAATGTCACTTGATATTTTCTCGGAATTCCTTTGTTGTCTTAATCGATTTTTTAAACCTCTTTCCTAGGATTGCCGTGATCACATTTGTTTTATGTTCTGTGATCTGTTATGTCATTTTCATATGTTTCCTTAAATTCAGCTTCACTTATTCATCTAATACACCTCATTATTAAGTAATTTTCCGTTCCTAATAATCTCATCATTAGATAATATTCCTCAATGGAATAAATTCAAATATATTCATTCCTCATCCCATTGTAGGTAGCAATTTCCAAAGTATTTGAGTCTGTCTCATCTATGTCATTTTCAACCTTATTATTTTATGATCACAAACCAGCTTTAAATCCCTTACCTGCTGTTGCTCCTTGCCCATAACTGCATCAATCAGGGCTTCCCCCTGTTATCTACGAATTTCTACACATTGGTACAGTAAGAGTCCTGCACATAGTGAGTGCAACAATAATAAAATTACATTTGTATAGCGCCTTTCACGTCAGGAGGATGTAAACATTAATAATAATCCTTGTATTTATTGTAACACCTAATCATGTCAGAGTGACACCTCAAAGCACCTCACTGGATATACTCTAAAGCTGAGTGATTGTGTATTTAGTGGGCAAAATGAAGCAGCCAGTTTGGGGCACAGCAATGTTCCAGAAAGAACCATGGAGTGAACAACTATATTCATTTGGGGGCTTGGTGGCCAAGACACCGGGAGGGAGAAACTCCTTTCTCTTTTCAAATACTGTAGTGCCATACGATCTTTAACGTCTACCTGAACAGGCAGATGGGATACGGGTTAAACATCTTATGGGAAGGACATTGCATCCCCTTTTCACTTTCTGCATCCTTTCCCAAACTATTTGTCGATAATGTAATCCCCAATAATTATAAGTGTATCACTATTTTATTTGCCTGTATACTTCTATTTCATTTAATTCCTTTTGGGGGCTAATGTTGCACCCCTTTTTGGTCATTGGCACATACTGAAATCCATCACTGTGTTTAAGAGAATCCAGACAATACTGAGATTTCCACATATCCACATCTAGGCGTAGAAATTCTCCTGTATCTAGAATGGACTTTACACTGTCTTCCTGTAGGAATGTCCTCCCGACGTGAAAAGCGCTAATACAAATGTAATCTTGTTGTTGCTTAACGAATTATGAATTAAGAGTATTATCCACTGATTGGCAAGATCCAAGGCCTGAGGCCCCAGAATGTGTGCTGGAATAACTGCTGGAAGTTTTCCAGCTGATTCCAGAGAATGTTGCGCTGTTTGGCTGTTTTCAGATTCTGTCAATTCATTCAAATGCAAATTAGATATTGGAATACATTTTATGAGTAAACTCAACAGGCTTGGAAGAAATAAAAAACTTGGGATCGAACGTTTTCAAAGCATTCCATGTGATGGTAAACTAATCCATACAGAATTAATTGCTGTCAACATCTCATTATTGTAACATACGACTACCAGGAATGTTAGAAGGCGGAGTAGATGCACCTTAGTCTTTTTCTTCTGAAGCGCTCCGGACACTCTGCATAAATGCAAGTTGTTGTTGTCCAGCAATTCCTATGTTCCTATCGGATACTGTGAGGGAAGAGAATCTCAAGTAGAGAGAGTATATCAATCACAATGAAAGCAAGATTATCTGACTATGTGCTAGCTGCTGCTTAAATAACCTCCATCTGCTGGAACCATTGCTTAATTGGAAGAGCTGTGAGCGGGACTGTGGTAATGATCTCATGCATTTCATCCTGAGCTGTGTTGTCCAAGGGGAAGCTCACAGGGAGTTCCTGATGGGTAATATCCACGCTGGTCACCAATACTCCAGGGCACTGTCGATTACAGTATAGCCAGAGTGGCTCATCTGCAAGACTTGGGAGATGCAGAACAGTCACTGGGGGCAGGGACTCGTCCCACTCAGCTCCCATTAATCCCTCAAGTCAAAGCCCTAACAGGTACTAGCTGGATAAGCAGCAGGAAAGCTTGTCAGGTGGCGCTCTGGAGGGTGAGCTATGTGGTTTTATCGTGTCAAGATTCTAGCAGTACCCCCAACAACTAACTCTGGGCACAAGCCTTGGTTCTTCCCAACCTGCATTGATTACTTTCTGGAATTAGGTAAGAAAATAGTTAAAATCTGTATGTGGCAAGAGATCCTTCAGAGGAAGGACAGATGTAGGTAACTGATAACATTTCTGAATGGTCATTTAAGTTTTGGGATGTGTTGAGAGAGTGGGACGTTCCTGAAGGAGAATTGTTTGCCCACAGAAGCAATTGTGGGACTGGGACCGAAGCCTCTGTTAATGTTTTATGATGTTTAGGGTGCCGTATTGGAGTGATAGATTGTTGATTATTTTACCTTGTAACCCAACTAGTTATCATAAAAGAAACAGGAATTGACATACTTTGGGATAAGAATATAACAGACGTCATGAATCAGTTCTTCGATACATGAATTTCTGCATCCAGAAATTAAACGCTTAGGTATAAAAGGAGTTTAAGTCAGTATCTGTGAGATGCAGATGAAGACCCCAAGTGCCTGCTGCCCTCTCAGAAAAGATAATTCATCACTTCTTTTCCCCTGAAACCTGGTTGCTGCTACTACTGGGTCTAATGATTATGGGTTATTGCGCTTTATGCGATCATTGACTGTTGAACTGTAATAAAGGATACAATTTTTTACATTGAAATTGTGTACACACTACTTCATCATTGACCAGAAGTTATGTTTTTTTACACTCCCAGGGAGTGCACAAAAACAACAAAATTACATTTGTGAAGCTCCTTTCATCTCAGGAGGACGGCCGAAGGCGTTGAATAATCAGGGATCAGGACCCGAGTGAGGTCAAAAAGGTCTTGAGTCGTGCCTTGAAGGAGGCAAGAGAGGGAGCAAGGCAAAAGGATTGTGGGATGAATTCCAAAGAGTGGGGGCAGAGACGCTGAAAGCCCGGAGCGGAGGGAGCGGACAGGTTGATAGGTGTCGGCAGGTCATAGAGCAGGAGGCCAGAGATGCACAATCAATTCCAACAAACATTTTTGGAGTTTCCAAGTATAGCTGACTTGCATGGAATTCATAATTTGGTTTGGATATTCTATAGCATGTTGATGGGTTTCTGCATGTGTCAAGCTTACCAAAATAAATGAAGAGCAAGAAAATTAATCACTGTGAGGTGAGAATATATCAATCACTGTGTGAGACAGAATATATCAGGCAATGTGTGAGAGAGAGAATCTGACACACTCTTAGGATGGAATATTTAATTCACAGCGAGAGGGAGAATATGAGGTACAATGACGAGAGGGAAATCAAACGCTGTGAAAAGAGACAATATGGTATGGTGAGGAAAGAGAATGTTTGCGGAGAGGGAATGTCATGGAAATGTGTCAGCATAGAAAATTTGTTAAAGAGCAGTTGTTGATTTAAATAGATATGAAGCATATTGTCTCTCAGGGTCCTCAGTTAGGACCACTGCTTCATAAATCATTTGGAATCTGGCATCAGGAGCACAATCAGATGACAAGTTTTTGTGAGGACGTTGCCGCTTGATGGTGACTCCAAAACAAGGTAAGATATGATTTAGAAAGACATTATTCAGGTAGCTCATGGTGAGAATGTATAACTCGTTCCACCACCCTTTCAGGCAATGCATTTCAGATCCGAACAACTCACAGTGAAAACATTTCTCCTCACCTCCCCTCTATTTCTTTCAACAATTATTTTAAATCGGTGTCATTGGGTTACCGACCAACCCGCCTTGTTCACCCTATCGAATCCCCTCATAATTTTAAAAACTTCTATTAAATCACCTTCTCTGTTCCAAAGAGAATAATCCTCGCTTCTCTCGCCTCTCCTGATAACTGAAGTCCCTCATTCCGGGTACCATCCTGGTCAATCTCCTTCTCGAATGCCTTGACATCCTTCCTAAAGTGTGGTGTCCAGAACTGAACGCAGTCTCTCGCTGAGGCCTAACCAGTGTTTTGTAAAGGTTCATCATAACTTCCTGACGTGTATTCTATACCCCTATTTACAAAGCCCAGTATCCCGTATGCTTTTTTGACAGCTTTATCTCCCTGTCCTGCCATCTTCATAGATTTACTTATATGACCCCCAGGTCTCTCTGTCCCTTCACCCCCTTTAAGACTGTCCCATCAGCGTATATCGACTCTCCGCATTCTTCCTCCCTAAATGCATTACTTCACGTTTCTCCACATTAACCTTTATCTGCCACGTGTCGGCCCGTGTTCCCAGTCAGTCTATATCTATTTGCAGTCTGTTACTGTCCTCCTCACTGGTTACTACTGTTCCTCGCGTAGGATCATCTGGAAACTTGGAAATTGTACTCCCTATACCCAAGTCCTGATCATTTATATTGATCAAAAACAGCAATGATCTCAACGCTGACCCCCGGGGACACCACCGCACACTTCCCTCCAGTCAGAACGACAACCGTTCCCCACCGCTCTCTGTCTCCCGGACAGTTCTGTATCCATTGGAGACTGTCCCTTTAATACTGTGGGATTCTGTTTTGGTGACGAATCTCTTATGTGGCACTGTATCAAATGCCCTTTTGAAAATTCATATAAACTCATCAACTGCACTACTTCATCCACACTCTCTGTTACTTCATCAAAAAACTCTATCAGGTTTGTTAGACACAATTTGCCTTTAACAAATCCGTGTTGACTGTCCTTTATTAACCCGTATTTTTCTAAGTGAAAATGTATTTTGTCCGACACTATAGTCTGTAGAAGTTTCCCCACTGCTGAGGTCAGGCACTGGGCCTTAGTTCCCGGGTTTATCCTCAGGGGAGTAACATTCGCAACGCTCCAGTCCTGTAGCACCGCCCGGTGTCCAAGGATTGGAAGCTCGTGGCCAGAGTCTGCGGCATTTCCACCCGGACTCCCTGACCCCGGCCCCGCCCCGCCTGACCCGGCCCCGCCCCGCCCGGGTGCCGTGTCTGCCCCAGTCACCCCCGCCCGACCCCGCCCCGCCTGACCCGGCCCCGCCCCGCCGCCCGGCCCCGCCGCCCCGCCCCGCCCCGGTGCCGTGTCCGCCCGGAGCCCCTCCCGCTGACCCCCTCATCAATATGATACCGTTGATGACAATGCACCGCCATCCCCTCCGCACAGACCTCGCACTGCGGCCCACCTCAGGCTGCTCCACAATGGCCACCGCGACGCTCTGCTCTCCCTCACACACGGCCCCTCCCTGTCCCGGGCGGGGGGAGGGTGGGGCGGGGTCTCCCTGGGGCTGGCGCCGCCGACCAATCCGGGCGGTGTGTTGCGGTCGGGGGGCGGGGCTGTTGGCTGTTGGCCAATCACCAGGTGCCGCGCGCCGTGACCTTTAGGGCGGGGCTCTGTCGCAGCGCCACGAACTTCCGGTAGCGGCGCCTCTGGTGAAGAGCGGGTCAGAGAGTGAGTGTGTGAGAGAGGGAGTGAGTGTGTGAGAGAGGGAGTGAGTGTGTGAGAGGGAGAGAGAGAGTGTGAGAGAGAGAGTGTGAGAGAGAGAGTGTGTGAGAGAGAGTGTGTGAGAGAGTGTGTGTGAGAGAGGAGTGTGTGAGAGAGGAGTGTGTGAGAGAGGAGTGTGTGAGAGGGAGAGTGTGTGAGAGAGAGAGAGTGTGAGAGAGAGAGAGTGAGAGTGAGAGAGAGGAGTGTGTGAGAGAGGAGTGTGTGAGAGAGAGAGAGTGTGAGAGAGAGAGAGTGTGTGAGAGGGAGAGGAGTGTGTGAGAGGGAGAGAGAGAGTGTGAGAGAGAGGAGTGTGTGAGAGGGAGAGAGAGTGTGAGAGAGTGAGTGTGTGAGAGTGAGTGAGTGAGTGAGAGTGTTTGAGTGTGTGCTCGTGAAAGCATGTGCACGAGAGTGTGTGTGATCACACTCATCAAATGCGAGGATTACTATCAATAAAAGATAGATTTTTAAATTATCTTTATACTATTTAAATGAGATAATAAACCAACCTTGACGGGGAGTACAGCGTGTGCCTATTCATGTGGCAAACCGGCTTGTGGGGTTAAAGGGGGCATGGAAATTCTGTCATGTTAATGGGGTACGCGTGTGTGTGGTATTAATTGGTTGTGTGGTTTTATGGAGGTGTGGGGCTGTGTGGGAATAATGGGGTGTTGAGTATGTGGTTATGGGGTGTGGGATTAACAGATAATAATCCCTCCAAAACTAAAAACAATAATTAAATTGGTCATTTTCAATCTACGACTGTTTGTGGGACATTGCTGTGCGCAATTGGCTGCCGCGTTCGCCCACAAATATACAGTCAATTCACTTTACAGTGTGTTCTGTGAAGCGCTTTGGGACGTCCTCCTGACGTGAAAAGCGCTATATCAAATGCAAGGATTATTATTATTATAACAGCAATTTTATATAGTGCCCTTCATGCGGGGTAGCGTTGCAGAGCGGTTGACAGTGGCAGAGTCTGACCTAGAGCCAGGGGGAGAGGGAAGGGGGAGATGACTGTAAGCACAATCAAAAATGAAGGTCTGTAGGCAGGATTTGAAGGTGGGGAGGGAGGGGGGCAAAGTGGATGGAGGGAGAGAGTTCCAGAGTTTGGGAATGTTGTGAATGAAGGCACAGTGGAGTGAATGAGGGATAAACAGCAGGCCAGAAGTATCTGAGCGGAGGCAGCGGGCAGTGGAGTGGGGGGTAAGCAAATTGGATAGGTAGGGAATTACGAGGGATTTGAATATGGGTGAAGGGATTTGAATATGGGTGAGAAGATCTTGAAATTGATCCGATCGGTAATTGGGAGTCAGTGGAGCCTGGTAAGGATTGGTGTGATGGGAGTACAGAGTTTTGTGCCCTTGATATGAGCTGCTCTTTCTTGTCCACCTCTCAGAGGTGAAATACTTCAAGCCTGCATTCAGGATGGAAGCCAGGAAGAGTGAGCCAGTGAAGAAGAAGAAGAGCAAGGAGGTAACTAACTAAATATTAAATGAACTTTACATAGAGTGCAAAAACAAGGACGTTCTGCTAAACCTTTATGAATCATTAGTAAGGCCCTAGATGGAGTATTGTGTCCAGTTCTAGGCATCACACTTCAGAAAGGATATCAAGGCCTTGGAGAGGTTGCAGAGGAGATTTACCAGAATGGTACCAATTTGAGGGACTTGTGTTATGTGGAGAGATTAGAAAAGCTGGGATTGTGCTTCTTACAGCAGAGAAAATTAAATCCAAAGTCTTTCGACTGTTCAGTGGCTTGGGACGTCTCCAGATGTGAAAAGCGCTATACAAATGTAATTGTGTATTGTATTTAATCAGTGTTCAAAATTATGAGAGGTTTTGATAGACTAGGTGGGCAGAAACTTTCCTATGGGTGGTGGGTCAGTAACCAAGGCACATAGATTTAAGATAGTTCATAGAATTATACAGCACAGAAGGAGGCCATTCAAACCATTGTGTCTGTGCTGGCTCTTTGAAAGAGCAGTCGAAATTAATCCCATTCCCCCGCTCTGTCCCCATAACCCTGCAAATTTGTCCTCCCCAAATACCTATCTATTTCTCTCTTGAAAGTTGTTATTGAATCGGGTTCCACTGCCCTTTCAGGCAATGCATTCCAGATCCAAATAACTCGCTGTGTGAAAAAATTGCTTCTGAACCCTTCTGGTTCTTTTGGCATCTATTTTAAATCTGTGTCCTCTGGTTACCGACCCATCTGCCAGTCAAAACAGTTTCTTCCTGTTCACCCTATCAAATCCCCTCATAGTTTTGAAAACCTTTTCTAAATCTCCCCTTTAATCTCTGCTCCAAAGAGAATAATTCTCGGTGTCAAAAGAATCAAAAGGGAAATGAGGAGAGATTTTTTTTACACAGAGAGCTGTTACGGTCTGGAATGAACTGCCTGAAAGGGGTGTGGAAATAGATTCAATAACAACTTTCGAAGAGGAGGGTCTTGAGATGGGTCTTGAAATAGGCAATGGAGGAGGCGAGGTACTGTGGGGTGGAATTACAGAGTTTAGGGGCAGAGTGGCTCAAGGCGGCGAGGCGGGGGAAGTGAAGTAGGCCGAAGCCCATTGAGCAGAGAGAGCTCATTGGTAGGGGGTTAGGAGGTCACAGAGATAGGTTTAGTGAGGTCATGGAGGGCTTTGAAGGTGAGGACCAGGATCTTGAGCTATATCTTCCGTGTGATGGGTAGCCAGTGAGTCAGGCTAAGATGGGGGTGATAGGGAGCCAGGTGCACGAGACGACATGGGCTGCAGAGTTCTGGATGACTTGCAGCCTGTGGAGGAAGGAGTTGGGGAGGCCGACAAGCAGGCAGTTTGCATAGTCAAGCCTGGATGTTACGGATGCGTGTATGAGGGTTTTGGGGCCCTATGGCGTGGGACAATAGTTGAGCCGGGCTATGTTGGTGGGGTAAGGCAAGGGTGCAAAGTAGAAAGGATAATTGAGGGTCAAACAAGACGCCAATTTCCTTAGTCCTCTAGGGAGGTTTGGATGCCCTACCTTTCCCCTTTGTGGTAATGTATTTGTTCTGTCCCTGAAATATCTCCTCCTTGAAGACTTCCCATTGCTTGTTAGCTGTTACCTGCCAATCTTTCTTTCAGGTCCACCAATAGGTCCATTTTTAACTCATTGAAATTAGCTCCCTTCTAGTTGAGTATCTTCACCTTTGATTGTTCCTTGTCCCTTTCCATAAGTACTCTAAACCGAATCATGTTGTGATCACTGTTGTCCAGATGCTCTCCTCCTGAAACCTGCTCCAATTGCCCCACTTCAATCCCCATGAGTAGATCCAGCATTGCTTCCTTCCTCATTGGGCTGGAAATATACTGATCCAGAAAGTTATCCTGCACACATTTCAGGAATCCTTCCCCTCCTTGCCTTTACACTTGTTAGAATTTATACTTTTTGTATAATGTTGAATCATAATAGATATTGCGAACGGGTTAACTTTTAAGTTAAGTGTGGGGGCAACCAGACTGAAACCCATGATTGACACTCAAGATCACGTGAGTGTCTCAAGGACAAGATGTGTACTGCTGCCATGTCCTTGTCCCCCATTATAACTTCTCCCGTCTCTGACTGAAGTGGACCTACCTTTACCCTCACAGCCTATTCCTCTTAATATATTTGTAAAAACTTTTACAATCAGACAATCAGCGAGCTTACCCTCATACTCCTTTTTCTCGCTCTTAATGAGTTTTTTAGTTTTATTTGCTGGTTTCTAAAACTCTCCCAATCTTCAGATTTGCCGCTTTTCTTGGCAGTATTATAAGCCTTTTATTTTAATTTGATGCTTTCCCTAACTGCTCTAGTTAGCCACGGATGAATTGCTTTCCCTGTGGTACTCTTATTCCGCAAGGGAATATGTGACCGCTGAGAAATTTTGCACTACATCCTTAAATATTTGCCACTGTTGGTCGACATTCTTACCTCTTAATCTTATTCTCCGGTCTATTTTACCTAAATCTTTCCTCATACCTACAAAATTAGCCCTATTTAAATTCAGAATACTTGCCTCGGATTTAACTATATCCCTCTCTAACTTAATGCAGAATTCAATCATATTGTGATCACTCTGCCTGAGAGGAGTCTTAATACCTACACTGCCAACTCGCCCTGTTTCATCACACAAAATAAGATCCAGGATGGCCTGTCCCCAGTTGGTTCCTCGGCAGCTGCTCAAGACAGTTATCTCTCATACACTCAATGAACTCTTCTTCTGACCTACTTTTGCCGATTTGGTTTTCCCAATCTGTGTGGAGATTGAAATCACCCACTATTATCGCTTTATTACGTGCCCCACTGATTTCTTGATTGATACCCTGTGCTATATTGTGATCGCTGTTTGGGGGTCTATAAACCACTCCCATTAATATTTTCTGCCCTTTATTATTTTTTATTTCCGTCGACCTCCTGGTCATCGGATTTCAGATCCTTCCTCTCCACCGCTTTTATTTTTTTTATTTTTTACTTTTTCTAGTGCTAACTTATGGTTTCTCTTACCTATATATTCTCCCCCCTTTACTAGTTTAAATTCCTATTTATTTCCCTGTTAATTCATTTAGCTCGGACATTTGTCCCAGCACGATTTAAATGCAGCCCTTTTCTCCGAAAGAGCTCTCTTTTCCCCCAATATTCGTGCCAATGGCCCATAAAAAGAAGCCCCTGATTTCCGCACCACTCTTTTAGCCGTGCGTTCAAGTCCTTAATTTGTTTGTTCCTGTACCAATTGTCGTATGGTACGGGCAGTAGTCCCGATATTACCACCTTCGATGATCTCGACTTCAATTTGGATCCCAGCTCCTCAAATTCTCTTCTCAACTCATCTTGGCCTACTCTACCAATGTCATTGGTACCGATATGCAGTACCACCAACGGATCCTTGCCCTCATATTTTAAATTACCCTCTAGCCCTGCCGAGACATCCTTCACCCCGGCCCCAGGGAGGCAGCAAAGCCTTCGGGTCTTCTGGTTGGTGTTGCAGATGATTGTGTCTGTCTGCCAGTAGTCTCGTCCCCAATGACAACAACATCCGCTCTTTTGCCCCAGTGTTAGAGGTAGTTTTTCCTTCCACCTCACCGGCTTCCTTGTCGATACAAGTTCCAAGGATCTCATACCTGTTGTTCAAGGTTAATGCCGGATTTACTACCTCTCTTTCCGTTGTCCCCCCGACCTCCTGACTGTCCATCAACCTATCCTGACCATAATCAATGTTGAGTGTATATTCCCTCAGGGGAGTGACTGGCTCCAGGATGTCGCTATCCAGGAAGCACTCACTGTCTCTGATACTCCGCAGTGTCTGCACCTCGGACTCCAGCTCCGACACTCTGACACTCTGAGCCACTCTGACACTCTGAGCTGCCTCAGTTGCAGACATCTTCTGCAGATGTGGTCGCCCGGGGTCAGACTGCCCTCCATCAGCTCCCACATGTCACACTCCTCACATAGCACCTGCCAGGCCATTGCCACCTCCTCCAACCTGAGTAGGTCAATCAATTAAACTAAGTTAATTAAGTGTTAAGTCAATCAAGTTGATCCAATTAAGTTGATTAACTTAAACCAAAGTTGATAAGCTTAAGTCCGTGGTGTGTGATGTGCTGATAGTTGTTAGTTTAATCTTGATACTGACGTCGTTCTGACGTCACTTTTTAAGTTTTCTCGCTGGTTTATTTCTTCGCTGCTCCTGACTGCTCTCCTCGCTGTGGCTGTATCCCCACTGCTCGGTCTAGACTCTGCCCCTCGCTTTCGTGCCACTGGCTGGCTGACTCCGTAACATCTCCCAACTCCGCCACTGTGTCACCCCTCAGGTCACTGAAACTCTTGTTCATGCCTTCATCACCTCCAGGCTCGACTATGCAAATGCCCTGCTTGTCGGCCTTCCCAACTCCTCCCTCCACAGGCTGCAGATAATCCAGAACTCTGCAGCCCGTGTCCACTCCCGCACCAAACTCTGTGATCCATCTCCCCCACTCTCGCCCGACTCCAAGGGTTCCCCATCCCCCAGAGGATCGAGTTCAAGATCCTCTTCCTCACCTTTAAGGCCAGCTATGGCCTTGCCCCCTCCTACTTCTCTGACCTACTGACTTCCTACAAGCCTGCCCGCTCCCTCCGTTCATCGGGCTCTGCCCGACCCGCCCTACCATCGGTGGCCGGGCTTTCAGCCTCTCTGCCCCCACACTCTGGAACTCCATCCCACGGTCCCTTTGCATCGCTTCCTCCCTCGCCTCCTTCAAGGTCGGTCTCAAGACCTTTCTCTTTGACCATGCCTTTGGTCTCCCTCCCACCTCTCTGCCTTCTCTCACCCCTGCACCACCCCCCCTCCCCCATGCTCGGGCCCCGACACCTGACTGTTCAGCGCTTTGGGCGTCCTCCCGACGTGAAAGGCGCTCTGTAAATGTCATTTTGTTGTTGTTGTATCCTTCAGAGGATCCAGTTCAAGATCCTGGTCCTCACAATCAAAGCCCTCCATGGCCTCGCCCCACCCTACCTCTGCAACCTCCCAAACCCCTACCAACCCGCCCGTTCCCTCCGCTCAGCCGGCTCTGGCTGCTCCACGTCCCCCGAACCACCCGCCCCACCATTGACAGGAGAGCCTTCAGCCACTTTGCCCCCAACCTCTGGAATTCCATCCCCCAGTCACTCCGCCTCGCCCCCTCCTTAGCCTCCTTCACGTCCCGCCTCAAGACCCTCCTCCTCGACCATGCCATCGTCCACTCCCCTCCCTTACCCCCCCCAACCCCAGCTCAGGTCTGAAATACTGTACTCTGTCCAGCGCCTTGGGACGTCCCCCCGACGTGAAAGGTGCTGTACAAATGTAATCTTGTTGTTCTTGTTGTATAGGGATCACAATTCGAACATAAGAATTTGCTGGGCAGAAGACGTCCATCTAATTCACCTTCCACCATCCTAGCAGTCACCTGACATGTCGTGTCCCAAACTATACACTGTATCCCAAATATTATTTTCTGGCAGAAATCTATCTAATTTGTTCTTGAAACAAAGTACATTTTCTGCTGCCACTGTTTCCCTTGGGAGCCTGTTCCATAAGTTTACCACTCTCGCACTGAATTAGCGTTTCTGCAGATTTGTTCTAATTTTATCCCCCTTCAATCGTAAGGTTGTCCTCTGGATCTACTGCTCAGTATAAGATAACACAGCTTGTCATGGTCTACATTATCAGAATGTTAAAAGACCATAATCATATTGCCCCTCAACCTTCTCCAGTGTGAACATGCCCAGTTTTATCTAATTGCTCCTCATAGTCCAGTCCCTCCATCTGCTCAATCATTTTGGTTGCCCTCCACTGTATTCTCCAAGTTTGCAGATGATACAAAGCTAGGAAAAGTAGTAAACGGGAGGAGGATAGTAGCAGACTGCAGGTAGACTTAGACAAACTGGTGAAATGGGCAGACATATGGCAGATAAAATTTAATGCAGAGAAATGCGAAGCAATGCATTTTGGCTGGAAGAATGAGGAGAGATGATACAGTGTTAAAGGGGTTGAAGGAACAGATAGACCTGAGGGTTCAATTAAGCAAATCTTTGAAGGTGACAGGACAGGTAGGTCCTGTTAAAAAAAGAATACAGGATCCTTGAAGGTGGCAGGACAGGTAACACTGTTAAAGCATATGGGATCCTTGGCTTTATAAATAGGGGTATAGAATCCAAAAGTGAGGAGATTATGATGAACTTTTCTAAAACAGTAGTTAGGCCTCACCTAGAGTACTGTGTTCAATTCTGAGCACTACATTTCAGGAAGGATGTTAAGCCCTTGGAGAGGGTGCAAAGGAGATTTATCAGGTTGGTACCAGGAATGAGGGACTTAAGTTATGTGGAAGACTAGAGAAGCTTGGATAGTTGTACTTGGAGCAGAGAAGATTAAGGGGAGAATTAAGGGAGGGGTTCAAAAAATTATAAGGGAATAAACAGAGTGAACAGGGAGAAACTGTTTCCACTGGTGGATTGGTCGGTAACCAGAGGACACAGATTTAAGATAGTTGTCAAAAGAACCAGAGGGGGGGATAAGGAGAATTTTTTTCACACAGTGGGTTGTTTGGAAAGGCTGGTGGAAGCAGATTCAACAACAACTTTCAAGAGAGAAGTGGATATTTGGGGAGGACAAATTTGCAAGGTTATATGGAGAGATCGTGGGAGTGGGATTGATTTGAATAGCTATATCAAAGAGCCGAGATGGGCACAATGGGCCGAATGGCCTCCTTTAATTCTATGTGTCTGCCTCGCTTCCTCTAAAACACAACTCATTTAGATTCCATAGTAACTATCTTATACTTGTGTTCCGTGGTTATGGATTTCCCAACAAGTAGGAACAGCCTATATCTGCTAACCTTATCAAACCATTTTCTAATGTTAAACACCTCTATTAGGTCCCCTCTTGAACATCTAGGATCATTCTACTAGATTTGCCTTTCACATTAGGAGGAGTGTTGCATCTGGACAGTTAAATGGTACCTCATCCGAAGGGTGGCACCTCCAACAATGCAGCAGACACCCAACACTGCGTCGCAGTGTCAGCTTAGACTATATGGATTCTAAGTCCCAACATGGAGCTTCAATCCCCAACCTTCTAACACAGAGGCGAGAATGAGACAGATTGAGACCAGACTGACACGCGCTTATAATGCCTTTACGTTCTGCATTTCAGAGCAAAAAGGAGAGCTCACACATCCCGTCAGGATCAGCTGAGGATGGAGGTGACCACACAAGAGATGTGACTGAAGCCATGGGTTCAGCAAATGAAGAGAGCGGTCTGGTCACAAGAGGAGGCATCTCAGCTGGTGAAAATGAAGATCTTGAAATGTCTAAGAAAGGTATTCTTCCAGCAAAAAGCTGCACAGAAAGATTGAGCGCAGGAGGCGGTTTGTCCCATTGTGTCTTTGTCACAGTTGACTCGGTTTCCTTTTTTGTCATTAATCCCACTTTCCAATTCCATCCCGCAATGTTGTTCTTACTGATGCTCTCTGAGTGAAGGAATCCCTTATAACCTCTTGCATCTGGTAACCCTCGTGAGACCTTTTGCCCTTCTTCGTTCCCCTCCCCAGAGCTCCAGGCGTTAGTCTGGCTCAGCGATGTGGCTTTCATGATGTGAGTCGACACTGAGCTCACAGTCCAGTTACTGGGGGTAGAGTGAAGGTTCCCTGCTGTGCCACACTGCTTGCTGTACAAATTCAGACAGAGATTAAAAGTTCTACAAGTGTATTTGGAAAATTTATACTTGCATTTGATACAGAACCTGAGCACTTCATCGAGATATCTCAAAGGGCTTCACATGATTTCACTGTGAAGTGTAGTAACTGACTTTGTAGGTGAACTCAGCAGCTAATTTGCAACACCAACATTCCACAAACAGCCATGAGGTAAATGACCAACTTTATTTGGGGCTTTCTCACCAGAACACCGGGGAAGAGAGAACAATTCCCTTCTCTTTTGGAATAGAATCATGGGAACTTTAACGTCCACCTGATCAGGCATGGACAGGGATCTCTGTTTAACATCTCATCCAAAGCACGGAGCCTCCGACATTGCAGCACATCCTAGCACCAAAATATGAGTTTTTCCTAGTGTCCTGCACAGTTGTCAACTACACTAACCACTCACCAACTCACTGTCTGTGGGAAGTGGCTACCGACAAATACTGACACTGACAAAAACTGACTGTGTTACGGTTACCTCCTCCCGGCTTGACGTCAGCTCTGCCGATGTTAAACCCTACAAAATGCTACCCTATGTGTAGGGCGCTATATAAATGCAAATTGTTGATATTACACTTGTCAGTAATTACTTTTAAGGATTTTGCTTTCAACAGGTGCTGTACAAATGGAAGTTTTAAAATCAGTCAAATGGCAATTCCTAAAGAACCCACACTGCATCGCTTTATGCTGCTGAGCGTCAGATACCGACCGGTCTGAGGATTAACTCAGAGCATTAACTTAATAAAAATAATAATCTGGTCACTCAATCCATGACTATTTGTGGGACACTGCTGTGTCTAATTGGCTGCTGCGGTTCGCCCAAAAAATATAGTCAATTCACTTTACAGTATACTCTGTGAAGTGCTTTGAGACGTCTCGAAGACGTGATAAGGCACTGTTTCAATTGCAAGGATTATTGTTATTAAAACACTGATATGTTGCTTTTCAGGTCTTTCTTTTCTCCCAGTAGCACCCAAAGCGGATGGTTCTGAGTCACACCCTTGCCCACATTGTGACATTGTGTTTACTAGTGCTGAGTACCTTCAGAAACACAGCAGAAGACATACCAAGCTCTGTCCAAACACATCAGCCACACAATCTGCTTGCAGCATAAATGTATCTTCACAGCAGAGAGAGTGTCAGGGATCTATGACATATGCCGCTGAAGAAAAGGGGTTTCCGCAAACAGGATCTCTGCAGAGTTCCCAGCGATCAATCTCAGTGAAGAGACTGTATACATGTGGTGAATGCGGAAAGAGTTTCACGTGTTCAGGGAATCTCAAAAAACATCATCGATCACACACAGGAGACAGACCATATGAATGTACCGAATGTCGGAAGAATTTCACAACGTCATGGAAGCTCAAGGAACACCAGCGATCGCACACAGGAGAGAGGCCGTATAAATGTGCCGTATGTGGAAGGAGTTTCACTCAATCAGGGTACCTCAAAGTACATCAGCAGTCACACGCAGAAGGGAGACCGTATACATGTGCTGAATGTGGACAGGGTTTCACTCAGTCAGCGCACCTCAAAGTACACCAGCGATCACACACAGGAGAGAGACCATATCGATGTACCGAATGCGGAAAGAGTTTCGCAAAGTCAGGGCACCTCCAGATACACCATCGATCACACACAGGAGAGAGACCGTATAAATGTACCGAATGTGGAAAACATTTCACAACTTCAAGGGAGCTCAAGGTTCATCAGAGATCACATACAGGAGACAGACCGTATGAATGTGCCGATTGTGGAAAGAGTTTCACCCAGTCAGGACATCTCCAGAGACACCAGCGATTACACACAGGAGAGAGACCATACACATGTGCGGAGTGTGGAAAGCGTTTCACAACATCAGGAGACTTCAAGGTTCACCAGCAATCACACACAGGAGACAGGCCTTATAAATGTGTCGAATGTGGAAAGAGTTTCACAAAGTCAGGGATGCTCCAAAGACACCAGCAATCACACACAGGAGAGAGACCATATAAATGTATTTTATGTCAAAAGAGTTTCCGAACATCAGGAGATCTCAAGATTCATCAGCTGTCACACACAGGAGAGAGACCGCATAAATGTATTTTATGTCAAAAGAGTTTCACAACGTCAGCAAATCTCATGGTACACCAACGATTACACACCGGAGAGAGACCATATAAATGTACTGAATGTGTAAAGAGTTTCACAAGGAAACAGCACCTCCAAAAACACCAGCGAGTACACAATGGACCTCACACACAGGTGGCTGTGGTGCAAATGTGAGGCTATCACCAGGGTGTGTACCTGCTGGAGAGTGTAACAGAACTGTGAGAAATGAGAGCCAGTGTCCCCCCGCTGATACCAGTCGTGGCCTCCACTGGCTCACAAAATTTCAGTATAGATTATTGGTCAAAAGGCAACTTCTCCCCTGGTCTCTTACCAGTAGATTGTTCTGTGTTTATTATTTTATTACCAGCAGATTTTTGTATGTTTTTTAGTTTCTTGCCAGCAGAATAGGGTGTGCTTCCTGGTTCATTATCAACAGAATGGGGTGTTTAATGGTTTATTACGTACCGGTTTGGGGTGTATTTACAGGTTTATATGGATGTTTGCTGGTTTATTAGCAGCAGAATGGTTTGTGTTTACTGCTTTATTATCAGCAGAAAGAGATATGTTTAGTGGTTTAATACGAACAGAATAGGGTCTGTTTAAAAGAGAAGTTTATCACCAGTTGGTGTCACTGATTCTGAGCCTGTCCATTTTGGTCAGCCAAGTGGGAAATGTCAGCAGTTTTGTTTTGGGAATGGCTGCAGTGTGAGGAAAGGGAAGGGAGACAGAAGGTTACAGGGACAGGAGGGGCAGTGATGGAGGCCTGAGGAAAGGAGGGGAGAATAACAGTCTAAGAGTGTCTGTGAATTTTACATTCTATATAGTTCACCTGTGTAGTCAGCTATTAAAACCATGTTATTGAGGGTTGGGCTGAGGATCTTATTCAGACTGACTGGGCTGAGGGTATTCACACAGACAGTTTAATAATGCTCCAGCCAGAGAGTCATTGATTGCTGGAATAACCAGAGTTTTATTGCGTTCACGGAAGTGTCACTATCGCTGGGATAGTGTAACTGGTCAGAAGGACTATAGCTGCTTAGTTGGTCTGTGTGGGTGGGGGGTGAGGAGCGTGGGTGAGTGATATTAATCTGTGTGTTTACCACAGTGTTATCCTGGGGTAAGGAACTGTCTGTGTACAAGTTCACTGTACTGTTAGAATAAACTATAACTAATATTTACAGCCATCAACATGGAATAATTTGCCTTTTTCATTCATTTCCTATTCTTGAATTTTCTCACGCAAGGTACGAATAAATAACCTTCAACCCCAATAGGTTAATCTGAGGTGACCTGGTAGACCTTTTAGCTGAGATTGATAGATTTCTAAAGGATAGAGGGATAGGGCGGGTGTGCATTGTCGTAGGGCGGGTAAATGGAATTAGGTTAGAAGATCAGCCATGATCTTATTAAATGGCGGAGCAGGCTCGAGGGACCGAATGGCCTACTCTTGCTCCTACGTCTTATGGTTTTATGGTCTAACAGGACAGGATTAATGTCTATTAATCCTCATACGTTACTTTCAGACAATTTATAATGATTCTCAATGCACACCACTGGTGTATTAAGTTATTCCTTTATTCTCAGCTTCCAATTCTCCAACCATAAACCTGGTCTTCCTTCCCAGGAGCGAATTGTGGTTGCCCCCAACTCCAATGGAGGTGGTGTTTGCACACACCTTGTTATGCCGTTCCATTCTCCTGTTCCCAAATTCATTTTCTGTTGTTCAAAGTCCACGTTCAATCTTTTCGTTCCAGTCCAAGTTTGATTTGACTTCTAACACCATGTAATTCTTCTCAATCCCCAACACTGGTGTGTTAAGTCAACCTTCTATTTGATTTCCAACAATCCAATACTCCAATTGAGAGGAGAGGCTCCTTCCTCCCCTTCTGCAAAGTCCAGGATCAAGCAGTGAGGTGGATTTGTGGCAAACATGGGAAGAAGCTGCAGGGAGGGAGGGTTCCGACCTACACTGATCTGTTACACTGCTAAGCTCCCTGGAGGTGGAGGTGGCTTCACAGCAGGTATGTCTATTTGCCAACACCTGGATTAAGCAGCTGGTGTTGAGTACGTGGCATTGGATTGGACCTCAAGATCTTCAAGGTGGCTGGCATATCGTTCAACAACAGTTTGCACTTATATAGCGCTCTCCACGCTGGGCTGCATCTCAGAGCGCTTAACAATGGTGGAGTCTAAGGCCAAGCCAGGGGGAGAGGGAAGGTGACCATAGACACAGTCGAAAAGAAAAGTCTTCAGGCGCGACCTGAAGAAGGAGACGGAGAGGGCGAGGCCAAGTGTTTGAGGGAGGCGGCTCCAAAGTTTCAGGGCATAGTGGCTGAAGGCACAGCTGCCGATGGTGGAGTGGAGGATTCGGGGGACGCAGAGGAGGTCGGACCCAATAGAGTGGAGGCAGCGGGTGCTGTTGTGGGGAAAAAGGAGGTTGGGGTTGTGTCAAGGAATGGAGGAATTTAAACACTCGAGTGAGGATCTTGAAGGATCTGCTCTGTGATAGGACCTAGTGGAGTTTGGCAGACTGGAGTAATCGGGGACAGAGTTTGGTGCGGGTGAGAATGCGGACAGCGGAATTTTGAATGAGCTGAATTTTGTGAACAGTGGAGGAGGGGAGACCTGCGAGGAGGTTATTAGCCCAGCCGAGAGGTGACAAAGGCATGGACAAGGGTTTCGGCAGCTTTTGGGGTGAGGTATTGTCGGAGACGGCGGAGGTGGATAAAGCGGTGCTGATCAGGGACCGGATGTGGGGGGAGAAAGGACAACTGGGGATCGAACCTGATGCCTAAGTTGCACACGGGTTCAGGTCGGGTAGGTTGAGGTCGGAACCGTGGGACAGATGACATCGGCGGGAGCCAAAGTGTGCACTGTCATAAACTGTCATGTAAAGGTCCTCCCACCACACTGAAGGTAATGTCCGCTAGATAGCTGATGAAGAAACTTCCAACTCAAATCCGGTCCCTGACCATACCTTACCTCAAACACAGCAAAACACTCATCCATGCATTCATCACCTCCTGCCGACTCATCAAATGCCTTCCTAGCTAGTCTCCCCAGTTCCACTATTGAGAAAGTCCAACTAATCCATAACTCTGCTGCCCACATTAAATTCTGTACCCCGATCATACCAGTTCAAGCCAGGCTCCACTGGCTTTCTATCGCCGAACGGATCAATTTCAAGATCTGCACGGTTGTCTTCAAATCCCTTCATGCCCTGGCACCTTCCTACCTCTCCGCCACTGCCGTGTGCTCTGGGATGCTACTCTATGTGAGGGCCGCTATGTAAATATGTATAAAAAGTTGTTGAAGCTTAGGGTGACAGCTGTTGGAAGGCGCTGAGTCCGAGCTTGTGAAAACACGTTTGAATATCCGGTGCTTGGAATCCACTTTGAATGGCCTGTAGAAAGGCAAGCAGCTGTTGCTTAAATCCTGCATCTCTAACTAGTGGAACCATTGCTCAAAGGGAAGGGACGTGTGCCCTAGCTGTGGACAGGAAGGTGGTGGCAGTGCTCTCACGAACTTCATACTTGGCTGGTAGCTCACAGGTGTTTTCTGGTACCTACTCTCCAGCCAGTGAGGCCTCAAACCCACGCTTGTCGACCAAGTGACCAACGTGTGACTATCCTCCTTGGGGAGGAGGATGTAAGTGGGGTCTCCTTGGAGCTGAACTGTCCCCAACGTGACAGCAGTGTCCCCCAAACAGTCGTGGATTGAGTGACCAAATTATTATTTAAATTTTTGAAGGTATTAGAAAGCGATCCGCCAATCGACTAACAACCGGGTTCCTACTTACTGCTAGGTAAACAGAGGGGTGTGGAGTACGGAAACATGCTTAAGATTTTATCTTGCCCAGGAGTTGAACCCAGGACCTCTTGCTTGTGGGCGAGTACTCCATCCACTGAGCTACAGGACTCCAGATGACAGCACAGCCAAACTCTATATAGTCTGATATTAACAGTGATACCTCTATATATTCTAATATTCCAAAATTTCCAACTGTATTTCTGGTGGATAATGTTCAACCGCAGTGTCTGAAAGAAAGGGTTGATGAAAAGTGCCTTTAAAATTGTCTTTGTCTTTAAAATTTCAAAACAGGCATCAAAGGAAAGAATTAGTGAAGAAATCACGTTCTCATCTTTTTCGAAATTGATCCTGACGTTACTGTCAGTGTTTAGCTGGTGCAAGTGAACGATGTGATCCAGTTTTCTTCGAGACAAAACATGCCAAAAAAAAAGGTTACGTTTGGCCTTGAAAACTGAAGTTAAGTTAAACAGAGTTGGAAAAAGTCAATCCTTTCCTTGCAAGCATGCATTGAGGCTGTTAAAATGCCCAGTAATGTCCATAAGGAAAGCAAGGTCACTGAGCTAGTCTTTGTCTTGTAGGAACTTTTAGTCTTCAAGAAGTTCTCCCTTCTCCAAAAACGTAAGCACTTTTTTCTTTTAAATTCCAAAATCTTCCAAGAGCCTTTACTTTGATAGCCAACGAACATTGCAATGGAGGAGTAACTCCCCTTCCATATTTGCATCTTCATCAAAAAAAGTTACGTAATTCCCGGCGAGCAAATTTTGTTTATACAACAAAGCCTTTGGTGCAAGGACCCCCTGGTGAATAATACAATGGTACTTGGAATAACCCGCCTTCCAAAATCTTTTCCAACAAAACAACACAACCATTCCACTTTCCACTCATAGCAGGTCACAACATGACTCGTGGAGTCCTGTAGCTCAGTGGTTAGAGCACTCGCTTTGCAAGTGAGACACCTGAGTTCAATTCCAGGCAGAGGGCGAAACCTTGGGCAAGTTTCCTTACTCCACACAGAGCCTAATAATCCCTCCAAAACAAAACAATAATAAATTGGTCATTTTCAATCTATGACTGTTTGTGGGACATTGCTGTGCGCAATTGGCTGCCGCGTTCACCCACAAATATACAGTCAATTCACTTTACAGTGTGTTCTGTGAAGCGCTTTGGGACGTCCTCCCTACGTGAAAAGCGCTATATCAAATGCAAGGATTATTATTATTAATATTATACTGTAAAGTGACTTGACTATATATTTTGTAGGTGAAATGCGGCAGCCAATTGCTTACAGCAGTGACCCACAAATATTCGGTAATAATAATGCTCTGTGGCAGTGAGTTGGGATGTATCAAAAAATCAATCTGCCACTGTATAAACCATTGGTTAGACCATACTTTGATACTGTGTCCAGTTCTGGTCACCACGGTACAAAAAGGATATTGGAGAAATCGAGAAGATACAGAGGAGGGCAACTAAAATGATTGTGGGAATGGAAGGACTGGTCTATGAAGAGCGACTAAGTAAATTGTAATGTTCACACTGGAAACAAAGACTGAGAGGTGACATGATCGCTGTCTTTAAGATTCTAAAGTGGCAAAACAATATAGATCATGACAGGCTGTTTCAATTTGTCCAGAATAGTAGAACCAGAGGACATGGCCTGTGATTGAAGGGATAAATTCAGAACGAATCTATGCAAACACTATTTCAGTGAGCGAATAATGAACCTATGGAACAGGCTCCCCAGGGAGACACTTTAAGCAGGAAATGTTGATTCCTTTAAATACAGATTAATAGTTTAATAGAAATAATAGAAATTGGGTTAATAAAACCTATATTTGGGTAGCTCAGACATTGCGCACAGTATGTGGGCAATCAAATGATACATACACTGTGCGAACCTCAATAGGTTCATCAATAATAATCCCTCCAAAACCAAAAACAATAATAAATTGGTCATTTTCAATCTACGACTGTTTGTGGGACATTGCTGTGCGCAATTGGCTGCCGCGTTCGCCCACAAATATACAGTCAATTCACTTTACAGTGTGTTCTGTGAAGCGCTTTGGGACGTCCTCCTGACGTGAAAAGCGCTATATCAAGTGCAAGGATTATTATTATTATTATTATTAGGTAATTGGGGTTCGCCCAGTCTAATGCAGTGTTTGTACACAAGGCCAGTTGTGTAACGGCTGGTGGAGGTGTGTGTGGGCCGGGTGCAGACAAATTTACTTGATACCACATTACTTTCAAATATAGGTTTCATTAAAGTTTGAAGAGCCAAGGTTTCAGAAACTAAATTCTTTCTGATTTTTTAAAATATTAAAGCAAAATTCACAACACAGGCAAATTCATCCTTTACAAATGTGTTAATGTTTGAC